TTCATTTGTAATTTTGAGGGTTACTTCATAATTGAAGTAATATAATATATATTTTTACAGAATTTTTAAATTGATGAGTTGATGATGAAAAATATTAATAAAAATTGTAAACAAGTGGAAAATGATTTATTTATATGAAAATGATAAATTAAAAATAACTTATCTATAGAACAATTTGAGATCTTTAAAATTGATCACTTGCATTTTTTTTGTACTAATGGTTTCAATAATATAATTTCGCATTGAGCGATGTTTTTTTATGAATTTCTGCAACTTACAATTGTCAATAACTTTACAAAAAAAATCTCAAATTTTTCGCAAAACACGTGTCTTATATTTTTATCTGTAGAATATTAAAAAAAAAAGAAAATTAAAAAAAATTAAAAATGATGTTTTAAAGGTTTGCCTCATATATAATACATATTTCGTATGTTGCTGATAAAGCTATAAAAATATTTTTTTAATCGTTTCTTATATTTATTTCAAAATAATTTTTCTTCTATTTAATTATTAATTTATTTCAACTATTTTTCTTCTATTTTCATTCTAATGCTCAAATAAAAGTATATCGTTTTAAGTGAAAAGAGTATAACATATCATAACCATAGAGAGCAAAATGTAGTAGCTGCAAGGAAAATATCGGTAAATAATATCATCTTTTCTTTCATGAAAGCCATTTGTTTCTGTGCTTTATCAGGTAAAGAAAGTAAATATTTTTCACAGACAAAAGAAATAAATAAATTTGTTTTCTTTTTCTTTCAAAATACAATTGGAAATATTATTAATTGTTATCCGATAAGCTTACAACTCAGCGATCAAATTTCTTTATAATATTTTAGAAACGTATCCTTTTGCCTACACCGTTAATGATATAACTTATTCACCCTTCATATTTTTTAAAGATAGAAAAAATTAGCTAGATGTGTTATATAAAATGTCTTGAAACTATTTTGGATGGTATACTCTACTGTATTTACTGTGGTAGAATTATAAAATCTTATAGCGATTAATAATGTCAAAGAGAGAATTATAATTCTAACAACAAATTTTAATGATTTTTATTAAGGG